CCCGTCGCCGCAGCTCCCGAGCTTCGGTCCAACATCTGCCCCCGAAAAAACAAAAGCCCATTGTCGTTAACGACCGGTCGCGCGTCTCTTGTTTCTAAGCGAGCGCTTTTCAATCGTAGGCGAATAACGGACCCGAGAGCTCAGTCCATTCAGGCCCAGTTCCCTCTCTCTTTCTCTGTCCCGTTTCTGTTCCTGTCTCCGCTGCTGCCTTCGATCGCCGTAACTCTCTTACTTGCCCTCTTCGTCTTCTCTTCGTCGAGTTTCTGTCGAGAGTTTCTCTCCCTTGTCGGGCCACCGGCGTGTCGTTCTCTTGCTTCTTCAATCTGGGAGAGAGAGGGTTTCTTTCTTTTTTTGGTGTACACGGTTGTGTATCTTTGATTCGTTGAGTCGCGATTTTTGGGCTTGAAAGGCAGAGGAACGATTCGAATCTTGCGTAAGTTAGATGGAATTATCTCGCTTCCTGTGCGACTCAGGTACGTGTCCTTCCGGCTCTAAGGAATCTTCGAATGTTTCGTCTTTTGGGGAAAAGTTCTGAAGATGTTGAACGGCGTTTTCTGAAACGATGGTATCTGGGAGAGTTGGATGTTGGGAGATTAATGCAGGTTTTTTCAGGGCTTCTTTGAGCCTTTCTTCGGACAGTTCCTAGGTTTTTGTTTGCGACGAAGAGTGTTGTGTGAAAGTTCGTGCAGATTTTCGGGAGATGGCGGTTGAATACGGTGAAATACACGAAACTTGGTGAAAATGTGCGAAAGATTATTTCTTCCTGCCGTTTGAAACTCTGTTTATCATAATTACTATTATAGTTTCTTCTGCGAAAAAAATCACAAAAAACGATTCTCAAATAGTCTGCAAAATTTCCATGTCAAAAGAAACGACAAAAACAAACACTTCAGCAGAATGAAATTTACAAATGTGCTGCAACGAAAGTAACGGAATAATCTCGTTTAAATGAGCAATAAAACGGCAGCAGAGTGTTACAAAAGAAGCAGAAATGTCGCGAGAAGGTGAGCTAACGATTCACGGTGCAACCACCCAACATTTGCATTCGCTGGAAAGGTAATGGGTATACGCACGGGGATCATCAGTGCCGCGTTTGCGCGCTGGCCAGTGGTCAACCAGAGCTCCGCCCAGAAAGAATCGAACGGTGTCCGCGCACCTATGAAAACGTGAAAAAAGAACGACGAGGGAACATGCAAACGTGAACATTCACACAGGCAAAGATCAACCTAAAAAGCTGAACCCAACCTATTAACCCTTTCGTTGCTATTGGCGCCTATAGGCGTTTCGAAAATTGGTGCAATTCTGCCTTAATTTAATGCGTAATTTCGTCCTTTACGCGCTTCCACCTTAATTTTAAAACGACACTGTTAAAACAAGAAACTCTGCAGTCGTGGTTAAAAGACACAAGTTTCGTATTAAAATCGGCAAAAGGGTTAAAAAGGCAGAAAATTTGAGGCTTCCAGGTGTAATCTGTGACCTCGCAAAAAAAAAAAAATACTATTAAATCTCCAAATGTAACCTGTGGCCTCGCGATAAATATTATTTATTTATTAGTGGCCCGTCGGCGAATAAAAATTGCACAAGCACAGCAAACCGATAGTATCCTTCGAACTCTGATAAAATAAGCTGCAATGCTTGCGAAGCGTCGGAATACTTCTTCCTCGATAAGAAAGCCCGAGGAGTAATAACTATTAGAAACCAGCTTGCAATGCCTGTAACGCAACAAGACGATTTATCCTCATCAGAAATATGAGGTATAATATCATACCTATATATATATATACACACACAGAAGTAGAACAAAGAAGGAGAATAAGAGGTATCTAAAAGTCTGAAGAAAACAGCGAAGACAATGGGCGAAACTAGGAGGGTTTTCTTATTTTTACGCGGCTCTGCCAGAGCCCTATCCCCGGGATGGATATGGATACTTGACTCCGGCCGAGGGAGAGATCAATGTATGAAACTCCTGCCAATCTCTATGTTAATGGAGCGAGACATAAGCAGGAGGGGCAGGGAAGGGCCGCGAGGAATGCTGCCAGGAGGTCTGCTTGGAGGACACTTAAAAGTGAATTGTTACGTCTGCGGCTGACCCCGGGACCTTAACCCCTCGAACCGCGGTGAATTATAAGACTCACGGCGAAGGAAATTAGATCTCTATATCAGCAAGCCCGCGTTTTCCTTCGGCTAACCAAATTTCCATCGTCCCACCGCCTACCGCCGCGCCGTCCGCGGTTCGTTGCCTCGAAAATTGAGCTCGCGCGTGAACACGATTTAACTATCAAACGTGGATCACGTGGCTGCGGAATGTATTTACGATTGTAATTAGGATCGAAGGATGATTGTCGAGTAGAGACTCGTCTTAGATTGAGCTTTGCAGCGTTTTGGATAGTACTGGATAGTTTTGGATTATACTGTTCTTTCGGTAAAAATACGCATAATTTTCTTTCCGTAAATTTGCACGTGAGTGTGAAAATTCTGCACGCGGTGAAGTAGTAACTGTGATTTAATAATGAAATTTCCAGACGCAAAATTGAACATTTTCCGTCGATGGTGCCGATTCTGAAATACAGTTCGTTACGCGTGAATTGGAAGTGTAAGTTTAAGGCGAGCGGAGCGGGGAACAGATATGAAGTTTTCATTTGGAAAGTGGGAAGGTTAAAAGCGGCACAATAAAATATTGCGAGGCGGTGAAATTTCTTGGGTGGCCTGGAGCACAGGTTCAGGAGAAAGGACTTCAAGTGTCCTTTTATCTAACGTTCAAGTGTTTGCAGCTTTAGGCAAATTCTTAAGAGGGTCTTCTGCTTAGTTTCGTAGGAACATGTGTGCAGCCTTGTAAGAAACGCGTAAAACTGGACACTTAAGAAAAGTTGGAAAAAATATTTACACTCCTGATAATACGATAACCTTATATATAGGTTGACAAAAGAAAAAAAAAAGAATAGACGACAATAGGAGATAATTTGTGAAATTATTTTACTGTAAATAACTTCTATCGCGAATTCGTTGTTAAAGTTAATGTTACTTAAAACATTGAAGTGTGCAAATAAAGAAAATTTTCAGTATAGTACGTTAGCTAGTTGTACACGTATTCTTCGCCATGTAATAGTTGCAGTGGAAACCAACAGAATCCAAAAACAGAAATTTTCCAAGGAAAAATAGCGCCGACTAAACAACAAATGTCGTTTTGTACGATAAAATATGCAAAAACAAAGTCTGTCGTCACACTTGAACAGAAATTTCCATTCAGCGCACATAATGAGTTTTTGTAAACCATGCTTAAAGACTCGCAGAGACAATGTTTATTTTTGTAATAGAAATCATCCTCGTATCACATCATGGGGCCGAGAGTAAATTTTTCAAAAGGATACAATCTTTTGTGGACACACTATACGTTTTGGACTCTGTTGGCTTTCCCTTGCACTCTTCACGCGTACCAACCAACATTAACGTAAATAATAATAGCAATAACGAGTAGTTGAAGCCTTTCATGGAAAAATGTCACATGCGCCAAAGTACCATTGGAAGAAAATCGATCTGAAAATTTTCAATCCGAAGCAATTCAATCCACAAGCCTACGCGCCCTTTTTCCATCGACGGCCTCAATTACAGTACGGTCTATTTAATTCCGATAAGAGAGTACACCGGTTGTAAGGGAAAATCTAAAGAACCGAATTCTCGAATCTTGCAGCGGAAACCTCGCAAGGCACCACATCCCCAGACACCGTCCAATGCGGGGGCTGCAGGGTGTCCTACCCCCTTGGCGAGATCGTGCGGTTCATCGAGCACAAAGTGAACCACTGTCGCAGCACTCTTCAGGGTTGCCACAGTCCGCCAGCGACAGCGGCGCCGGAGGACTCCGATCCGGAGGACGCGCTCGCCGTGAAGACCGTCGACCAGGATTCCAAGCTGAATTCGGTGCCCAGCATCTCGGCGCCCATCAACAAGAGGGGCGGAGGCAGGCTGGAGAGCCCTCCGACGCCCCAGGGCTCGGGCCCGGATACTGGGAGCCCGATCGAGCTGAAAGCAAGCGCTAGCTCGACACCTAAGAGACGGACGGAGGCTTCGGACGAGGACAAGGAGGACCTACCGAAGAAACAGAAGACGGAGTCCGTTGACGCGGACACGAACACGGTCAATTCTGGTGAGTACTTGCCTCAGTTGTTCAGTTTTTTGGTCAATTCGATGGAGTATCGCGATGGCAGAGTTGGAGGATTTTTTTTAGGGAAAAGTACAGCAGAGTGTGAGAATAGATTCTTTAGTGTCTCTTTAGAGAGGGAATGTTAAAGAAATTTTAAGTAAGATAGGTGTGCACAATTTGGCTATGTTAAATATATAGAGTGTCGTTCGTAAGTATGCAAGAGTTGAAGATTCGTACTCTGGTAGATTTTTTAGGGAGAACGATAAAGACCTGCGGGCAAAGCACAGTGGAGTTCAGGAATAGATTTTTTAGTGTCTCTTTCGAGAGGGAGAGTTGAAGGAATTTTAGATAAGATAGGTGTGCACAATTTCGCCATGTTGAACACATACACTGGCGTTCGTAATATTGGGTATCATATCGTTGGTTTGCTAGAAGAGTGACAACTACCAAACGTACATTTTTCAGGAAATCGGTTTGAAATTTTTTGTGGCAGAAAATTATTAAGCGATGAAAAAATTGTCTTCTAATAATTTTAATTTCAATTCTAGCGACTGAATTTTACAGTTACTTTTCGCAGACACCTGAAAATTAACGATTTTTCTGTTTTATATTCGTACCAACGTAACTGACGGTATCAGAAATTTGCCCGATACGAGAATCAGGCTGACATTGAATCGCGGTATCGAGCGAATCTCAACGCGACTCGCTGATGCACGTGTTACTAAAGATGCCTCGAGATGTTTTGACATATTCCGCTTTGAGTTCTGCGTTGGGTCTCCAGAGTCAAGGTAGCTTCTATAAATAAAACGCCTGTGTTCCGGCAACAAATGCTCACCGCGACTTTCGTACTCCGTACAGCTTTCGAACGAGCACTTCCGTCGGAGAAAGAACAAACGAATCATTTCAGATCCCAATTAGTAACACAATTGAAACGATAAAACAGCAAAAATTTCAGATATCCAAACTAAATAATACCTCAAATTTTAATAGTGTCTGCAAGTTTTATTTGCACGAAATCATTTATTTATTTGCCCCGTTAGTGTGAAGGTGCTGAAGTATTCTGCTGCAAGAATTTAAAAAAACAATCCCGAAACTACGTTTTCAAAACTGTGTCGGCATAATTTTAAAAAAGCTAATTGGCTCACTAACTGGGAAACAATATTTCCTTATTTTCAATCAAATGAATTAAAAAAAAATGTGCTTTGAAATACAATTTCTCTTTCCACCGAGCATCGTCTCTTTTTTCTTCGATTTCAACGAGTCATTAAGATAAGAACGACAGCGTGGCGTAGCGAAAGGGTGAAACGGTAACATTTTTCTCTTTTTTAGTGTCCATTTCAGCATCGATTTTTACAACCGGTGAGCGTATTTGCAGCGATCAGAGCGGTTAACATCGAGGTGAAATCTCACTGTCAACCGTCACTGCGCGATCTGTCATCTGTCCTGGAAATTCTGGTTTCGAATTCGCCGGTCGAGGGGAGGGGGTGAGAAAGAAAGAGAAAAAGGGAGTTTTAAAGTACAGTTACAGGCTAGCATGTGATGCCGATCGTGGTTCAACGAGCACGGACAATACCGTGGTAGATTCGATTTTTGAATTTAAAGAGCCCGCTCGGGGATTGGGGTGAACCTGCCCCCATAGCCTCCCTCCCCCATGGCCCTTTTTTATCGGAGGCCACATTGTCCACGGGTTCAACGTGCGAATGTCCTCGCTGTTTTTCCTTTCTTTCTTTTCGACGTGGTCCACGATAAAAAGTCGTGCAATTAATTTTATTTTTAGATCTTTCCGCTGGTCTAAGCCTGGTCTAGAGTGCTCGCGGTTGATTTGTGTGGAATGCTGGGCTATTGTGCTGGGAAAAGTTTGGGAACAGATGGAGGATAAAAGAATTAGCGGATGTTCGAGTTGCTTTGACGATTTTTTAAATGGCTGCTGGTGAAAAGTTGAAGTATTTGGGAATTACACGCGCTTTTGGTGTTAGCGGTTATTCAATTTGATTTGTCATTGAAGAATTAACGTTCCGGTCTTGCTGTTATATATTTTGTTTCGTGAATTAACTGCTTTTATTTATTGTTTGTGGTGAATTTTATTTATTAAAAGAAGATACTAAATGTATAAACAATGAAGGGACACTTTTCAACTTTTCATGTACAATCCAGTAAATGGAGCTACTTAGAGGTTGATGCGACTCAAAATAAATAAATTTGAAAAAAACATCCGAGTACTCGGAATAAGAATTAAAACGATCGCTACACACTACGCTTGTACATGAAAACTCAGTAAATATTGGGTGATTGCAGATGAAACGAGGCTACCTAGAGGTTGGTGCGACTGAAAATAAATAAATAAACAAAAAACACCTCTGAATATTCGAAATAAGAATCAAAAGAAACATTATACTACGATATTTTTATGCTAGACGTCCGCTTTCGCTCTTCACGTTTGACGAAAATACAAAGCTTCGATTGCTCAACTGTTCAATTTGTTCATACAATTCGTGAATTTTTGCTCTCGACACACTCGTTCGTAGACCGTTCTCTGACTCGAGCCGACTGAATGGCGCGATATATGTAAAATGGATGGCTTTAATTTCACACCCACTCGTGGACGAATCAACACCAAGATTGCGACGGTTTACCCCGATTAACTTCAAAGACGCGGCCACCGCCTTGAACGAAATTCATGCGGCCCGACGCGCTTGATGAATTGAAAGCACAGCCTTTGAGATTCTTAACTTGGTGCTTACC